TGCCTGCGAGATCTAAGGCGCAGTTACAGAATCTGCTCGATTCCTCTTAAATAGAGCGTTGAAGCTCTTACCACCAACCAGGGGCATTAATTCGATCCTCTTTAATTAACGGCTTACTTTACCGCAAACCTTTCTGTCCAGATACGAGATGTTTCGAATCTGAGACGATATTATATTCAACATCGTATTATCCGAGGCTCTCTTTCCTTTCAAGTAAAGTGAACGAACGTTCGTGAGTGAAAATTCTCTGTCGATGAAATGTATTGATTTATGCATCAGTCTGCTGGATCTTTTCTCGACGGATTAGGATTATCGATGGCCTCGATTAAAAGAGATAGATTTGATAGTCACGATGATTCAGTTAATTTATGGGATTAATTAATGAAAGAAATGTTTGTAATGGAAGAGAGAGATTGTTTGGTGATGAATAAATGAAGTTTCAAACGATTCATTAATAAGGATAATAATTGAAATTATTTGGATTTATATGAGAAATTTCTCTAATCCATAAATTAATATATTTCATTGATAATACTTTCATATTTAATATTTTCAGTTATTAGGTTTTATTATCAGGTTTAAAAAAGATTTTAATTTATGACACGTGGATAAATTAATTACTATTCCAATATATATTTATTTTATTATAGCAAGATTCATTATATATGTACACAAAAATTACATTATCGTTACTCTTTTCAATCATCACCCATATTTTTATTACAATTCCCACTTATATCCACTCCATTAAAGCATCAAATACATTAAAATTGCATTATCAATCTTATCCTCTCTGCCATTAAATCTACCATTTTCAAAGAAGAAGAACCAAAAAAAAGAACAGAGAATAAAGTTAGAAAAAGAAAGAAGCGCGCAGAATTTTTTAACCATTCCCCCCCCCCCCCTTTCACTCGTCGAATTAATCTGAAATTTCACCACTTGGCCGGACCTTTATGAAATTATCGAGCGACAGATATCTCGGGCGGATTAAAGCGAGCGTGATCCATCGAGCGGCGCGTGGGTGGACAAGCGCGTGGAAAGTAGCTTATTTCACCGAACTCGAGAAAGATTATCTCGAGCCCGTCCTCGAAGACCTCCGGTTTCCTGATTCATAGGCCGCCTCGTGTTACCCTCCCATCCTCACGAGCGTCTTCACTCGTGGACGGCTAATTAAAATTACGCCCGGGTGAGCCCCGCACACCTATGGCTATCGCCACGGTGTACATATACGAAAGGAAATCGTAATTGGCTCGTTATCCGCCACGCTAAATGTATCACTGTGCTTTGGAGCCGTGGCCTGTTTACGTGGCGGAGAGAAAGTATCCTGCTAACTCGTCGACGACAGTTGCCTCGATAATGGAATATATCTGTAATTGGTGATGGCGACCGAGTTGCAACCGAGTTGCGACCGGTGGATGAGTGTGTATTTCTAAAAAAAAAAAAAAAGACTAATGGGAAATGAAATGTCGAAGCTTCGTTTTTTTTTTTTTTTTTTTTTTTTTGAGCGAAAGCAAGTAATTCGAAAAATATTTCGCATTTAGAAATTATTGGTTTCTTTCTTTTTCTTGGAAGATCGTATCAATTGATGCGTTTATTTTATTCTCAAGAACAAGGAGAAAAGTATATTTGTTTTTTTATTTGGATAGAATATAGAGTATTGTTTCAAAATATATACGAAAATAAGAGAGAGTTATGTAATTAATTATTGGATTATGGAAAATGGATTCGAAATGGAAAAGGTATCGCGTTTCTAAAGTCATCGTATATAATTGACAATTAAAGATAATGAGCATCTCCAATATTGGTTTTATGGACGATTGAAAGATGGTGGGTGTACGTAGAGCGAATTAGAATTGGAAGAATCGGTGACTCGCATGCTTAGTCACCTGATGAATATTATTATTATAGTTGAATATTGAAACGACATCGGCACAAGTAACAACGAAACGATTGTCGTACGCCTTTTTTCCTCTTTTCGTCAAACTTCTTTATCGTTTCTATTTTTATTTCGAAGCGAGTAATGGTTATAATAATCTTTTAATAGCCATTTTTACTGGCTATTGTATTTAAGTTATTTTACGTAATAATAATAATAATTGTACATTGTATATTATAATTTAAATTGCAATATAATAAAATGTATCTATATAAAATACTTTGCAATTTTACACGTAATTGTAATGTCAAAATATTTGAATGTTAACCAACAATTAAATTCTGAAATGTATTTGTCATTATTTCAATAAGATAATTGATCTTGATCACATATATGTATAAAGTAAAATTAAACAATCAAATTTGAAAGCCATTTTGCCATCAATCCAAATGTCTATCATATCTGAAATTCATTTTGATATATAATTTCTAGCAATTACTGTTTTGAATTTTTCAAAACGAAGCTATATCATTTTCCAATTTCTCAAAAAAAAGAAAAAAATACAATTTAAATCTCAAATATACAATAAGTGAAAAGTAGAAGAGAAATCTTGAAGTCTTTCATTTTTATTGATTTTCTATTTTTCACATTTTTCTATTCTAATATAAAATTACATATTTTGAAAAATATTAAATATACTAAATTATCTAAACATAATCAAGATGATCTTTGACTCTATTAATTTCTATATATTTAATAAAATTTAAAATAGGATAAAATTTTGAAAATCATTAAGAACTTGTGAATATATTTAAACACTGTAAATAAAAGTAAGATCGTTCTAAACATACGTACATACGTCTTGTTTATATCTCTCTAGCTGATTATATCTCACAACAGCGAAAAGAATGAAAACATTGTCGGTATGAATCACGGCCCACAATAACAGAAAATTTGACTGTTCCCAATTTAGTCGAGTAGTAGGCAGCGTCTCGCACGAGTCTGAGAGCGTAGAGGTCCGGAATAATTCATCTGCGTCTTCAAATTAACTATTGTCCAGCTTTAAGGGAAAACTAGTTTGGTTTATTTCTAGAACGTGTAGTTCTCGCGTGCTCCTAACGATACAATGAAGTTGCAAGCCTGTAAAAATAACTCGACATAAAATATTGCCAACACGTTTCTGATAAGTTTTATGTACATAATTTGTATATATATATATATATATGTGTATACGTGTTTTATTTTATCACACGAGGAAAACTTAAACAACAGAATGTTTCAAGAGTCAAATGACAGTGTTTATTCTATGATCCAAATCAGAGAAAAATATTACATAATTTATTAAAAATTTATGATAAAATACGGGCTAAATAGGTGAATAAAGAACGAGAGAATAAACACGTATATGAGGATAAATGAGTAAGCAATTGAGGAATCAGAGTTCAGAATATAAGGATCAATCTGACTTTGAACGATTGTAAGTTACTGTTGAGAGGGTCGAAGTTTAAATCAAACAATTGTAAGAATTTCAAGTAAGAATCACCGCATAATTAAATTCTTATCGCATAGAGTCTTATCAATCTCCGTCATCGACCCCTCTTCGAAGAACCGAGGAAGATCTTCGATTTTACTACGAGACAAAACACTTCCAACTTCTTTCAAGAAAATATCTTTCTGTTTAAATATCGTAATTTTCGTAATTTTACACGTGTCAACGACGACTCAATCAATTCCTCGAGTTTTCCCAGATAAATCAAAGTTTTAACATACTTAAGCGCGCAATCAGTTTTACAGTTAACTTCACAGCGAGTTGAAACTTCAAAGAGCCGATAAATCATTTCCCTTCGGGCGGAAGATGTTTCCGTTCCGTCGTAAACGATCCCGAAAACGCTTCTCGAGGTAAAAATGCCCATTCGTCGAATCCTCCTCCTCCTCCTCCTCCTCCTTCGAAAAAGCCCTTTCAAAAAGAGTATCGCCATTTACAGATTATAGAGAAACGCGTCTCGTTGCACGCACGATCCATCCCGTGGATTCGCAATCGATCATTTCGACATTTAACCTGTCCGTCTGTTCCACGCGAGTTCCTAGACGAAGCCTTATAGGGATGAAGGTGTGAGCCTCGCCGTGGGACTTAAAGTAAGCTCCCCAGACTGCAATTTCGATCCTGTCCTGTCCATAAATTATTTTATCGCTGTACGATTATTAATTTAAAAGGGAGGTTTTGCCGATAATCTATTTCTTCTTCTACTCTTGTTGGAGCGTATGTTTCTGCATAAGTAAGTATTTATTAAACGCTTATTTTTTTATTTATATTTTAATTTATTTTTTATTTTTAGAATTTTATAATTTAGAATTATATTATATTTTATAATTTATATTTTATAATATTATAATTTAGAACATTATAATTTAGAATTTTAAAATATTTTTCGTGAAGTAGAATTGAGATAATAATTAATAAATCATTGCCACGATTCCTTTTAATTATAATATTTCTGTTAATTAATTTAAATCCTGGCACAAATGTCATCGATTACAACAAATTAATTTCCATCTTTCCATCTATTCCCGATCCAATCGAAGAGCAAAGTTTAGAATTTTATTAAATTTTATAATTTATAATTTTATAATTTTATTAAACGCTTATTTTTATATTATTATTTTATACATGTATAGAATCGTAGAATATATAGTTTAGAATTTTAGAACATTTTTCGTGAAGCAGAATTGAGATAGCAATAAACCATTGCCACGATTCCTTTCAATTATAATATTAATTAATTAATTTAAATCCTGGCGCAAATGTCATCGATTAACAAATTAATTTCCATCTATTCCCGATCCAATCGAAGAGCAAAGTAAATGGAAACATTTTGGATTGCAGAAATGCCCAGAGAAGCCAAGATCAAGAAGAGCCTATTGTCAATGAGATCAAAATGCATATAGTTAACCAGTAAGTAATTCGAAACTTGTGCCAGCAGCGTGCCTTCACCCCGTCGCGACGTAGTGAGGAGGAGCCCCGCGAAAACTTTCTGTTTTCATCCGCAGACGTTCGCTCCGTCCTTGTCTGAACGGTGGGGCGACGCGTCTGGTGGGAGAAGGACGGAGAGGGAGTCGTAGGGCCAAGCAGAGTGGGATTTGGCGCGAGCGAGGAGAGAGGGATGGCGGAACTGTCAGTGCTACATCGGTTCTCTTCACGTAAGGACGAGCCACAGGGATCACCTGCGAATCGCCTCTCGTCGGGACACCAACTTCCTCAGCCAGGTGAGCCTTCCTTCCTTTTCCTTCCTTCCTTCCTTCCTTCCTTCCCTCCTTCCATTTTTTTTTCTTCTTCTTTCCTTTTTTCTCCGCTCGAAAGATTAATCGTCGCGAATTCGGTAGCAGAGTAATTTATGGCGTCTCGTGGATCGCTCGCTTTGTAAACACGAGCATTTTGTCCCCGGTTGGGAGATTAATCGTTCGAAACGGTTGCGAATGAAGTCTTGTCGGGGAGGAGGAGGTAAGAGGGAGAGCGAGATGGGTTTTCTCGGATCGGGAGGAGGAAAAAAAAAGAGGTGTTCCGCCGGTCGATCTATTTGTTAACGAATATCGCGAAGATTTCGGTCTGTCGAAAGCTTGATTCGATTTCGCTTTAAATTTGTTTCGAAGGTAAACTTGATTTTAAGATCGTGTTTTTGTATATTCCGGATGTTTCGATTCGTTTTGCTCTCTCTCTCTATGTAAAAACTTTGTTTACCTTCTGCGTTTGTCAATTTATCATAGGATTGAGAATTATTCGACTCGATTTATTCTTAATGTTTGTGTGAATTTTTGAATTGTTTCTTAATTGCGTGTACAAATATGTAGAATAAATCGTCGAAGCAAATATAATTATAATATCGATAGAGGAATGATCAAATGTATAAATAAATGTGTAAAATTGATTTTTATTTGAAAGAGAAAACAGCATGTTTTATCTTTATTTAGAAAAATATTTTATCATAGGTTTTTGTAAATATCCATTACAATGGAAACGATTCTGTGAATCACTGTGCAATGCACTGATCGTGTTCCTGCACTCCAATTCACTCAAACGATCCTCGTCAACGCACGTCGTAATAAATGCACTTGTGCTGTTCTTAGATACAAATACCTCGGTTTGTCTTCCTGCAAATTATCGTATATAACATCGTGATCGTAAATAGTATCACTGATCATTGTTGATTTTAACGGCACAATTGAAAATAGAATTAAATTGGATCGTTTGATCGTTGAAAATTCTTCGTTGAAAATGTTAATTTTTCGTAATTATATTTAATCTGAAATTTCAAAATTATACAGCTCGTCTAATTTATTTCCTAAAGAAATGAAACTTTCTACGAGAAAGAGAGAAAAAAAGAAAAAAGAAAAACGTTTCCTTCTGCATAAAATGAATACACAACACATTATCTTCCGTGATCACTTATTATTCCAAAGTGTACACGAACGAATTTGCGAGCCATCAATGCGCTCCAATTCTCTCGAACAATTCTTTTCGACTATGCATCGTTTTTTTCTCAGTGACAGTTGCCGTTTTAACTTCTTACTAATCATTGTATAAGAGATAAGAAAAAAAAAAAAATAGTTACATCTTCGGTTTAACTCTATAGAATAAAATCTTTCTATTTCTGATTTGACAATTGAAGTTTTTAATTAATTAGCTATTGTATTCAATACAATACAATTTTGAAATTCAAAATTTACATATTCTATGAATATAAGAAAATAAGAAAGAAATGTTTCTTAAACGAAGATTCATAAATAATTTATTAAAATAATATAATAAAAATATCGAATCGATATTGAGCTAATTTTTTTTTTTCGACAAATAGGAATATTTATTTGATGTATTCGCGTAAATTTTATTAAAATTAATAATGCTACGATAATAATTTATTCCTGTGCGATATGAAACGTGTAATTTCATTCATTTTTGTTATAACATTTTAATAAAGTATTTAATTGGATTAGAATTAATTAATTTAAATTAATTTTTCAAAGGAAAAATAAAAATCTCTTAAAGTTAAATTATAAAATGTAATTCGATATACATGATGCTTGTGATACATATTTTTTTATTTTTATTTACATCACGTAATATTATTACGTGAAATTATTATATTATAGCGGAACAAGCATTATTCAGATAAAAACCACATTACTTTCGTTATCGGTCCCTTTACTTTACGATCTTCTCAATGGCTGCACATGTTGACTAGCCACTGCATTAACGCGGTGTCGTTATTAGATGTAATCTAACGACTGATAACAATCAGCCTTACAAATTGGAATTTAAATTTTAATTAAAACGAGATTTTTATTTTATTATTCTTTGTTACATTTAAATCTCACTTTGGAATAAAAAGGTGATCGTGTTGTTACATGTGATAATCTTATTACACAGAGTTATAAGTCTCCAATTTATTATTCGAATTGTATATCAGAACAGTCTTTTAATATTGAATTTGTATTTCACATAAATCTCGCCTGATCTCTTTACATTTTTACGCATGATAAAATTTACTCGTAATATTCTAATTACACGTGTAATTAATTTTATACATCCCAGATAAATTAGTTAGAATTAATTTATTCAATTAGTAAAAATTTCAAGTATATTAACCTCTAAGTTTTATGTTAATGTTATTATTAATAATCCAAAATTAATTATTCATCGGGATAAAAAATTTTAATTACGTGTATAATTTTCTATTTCACTTTTTTATCGCAAATATCATTTTTCGTTCTCAGACGTTCTTCTGTCAAAAATATTATTTTGAAATCAATGTAAAAACTTTCTTTAAAACTCGCATTACTTAAAGTTCAATATTTCACGCGAGGTTTCCAACGGATAATTCTTTTCCAATCTCATTAAATATACGGTAGAAATTTCCAGAACAATCCAATACAGCAAATCACAGGTATTCGACCGGGCAAACAGTAAACACATCACGTGCCACCCTTCACCCTTGCACAGAAACGCATCAAAGAAGCCAAATGACTCACACTCGTCCCAACGATCCTCTTGAACACGCTCGCGCGATTAGCGCACGCCCCAATGTATATTCACGTACGTATATACAGGATGTCACCAAATTATTTCTATATACAATCTCAAACAGAAGGAATAAATTATCAAATAAAATTGACTCGAAGTCTAATCAATATTATACTCCATTTTCTTCTTCTCGACGGAAAAAATATAATATTTAGAATGTAATTTTTGTCATCAAGATCTCATTTTCTACGAAAAGAATATATAATTAATCATATATATTATTATATACAATATATATATAATTAAGTAACGATAAATTAGACGAGGGTGATTAGATAAGGACTTTTACGAATCGAATAAAAAATGATACGAATCTAAATCTAATTTCAATCTCGAATAATCTTTCGTAATTTAAACGAAATCGAGTTCAAGCTTATTATTATTCAAAAACGAGTTAAATTATTCTCTTTATCAATTCGACAACATGGTATTTACATGAGAAGAAAAATCAGAAAACGTTTGAAATTATCTCAAGGATTAATCCGTTTAAACTCTCTCGATTCCCTGTCGAAAATACCTGCGAATCCTGAGCACGCGATATATCAAGCCATGACCACGTCTCCGCGTTTAATCGGCGAGGTCGACAAAGCGGGCCGCCCAAGTATCGCATCGCGGTTAATTAAAGACGATCCCACGGGCGTTGGGGAGGGAAGAAGCGGAGAGAATCGCGTCTGCTGCGCGTCTGCTTTGTGCCCGGCCACAAAGAATCGCGATGATGAGAGATAGGGAGGCTGGGAGTGGGTAGGGAGCGACGACGAGCAAACGATCTCGAGGCTGCTACTAGTAGCAGCAATTGCGCCTTTATTACGTGCATTACGTCCGTTAAATCATCGTTTTCGTGGAATCTCGCGAAACAAGAGATTCTTTCGTTCGGATCTCGATATCCTCGAACACATCGAGGCGAGTAATTGGGACAACGCTGGACCACGGCCGCTGATTATTCTAACTCGGGCAGGATTAGAAATCGATTAGGGTATCAATTAACGGGAGGAAAATAGGATTAACGCTTGTGTGCGGGCGGGGGAACGGTGTACCCCGCCCGCTTCGAGCAAACACGTGCGTGCCATGTGCGAATGCGTGGCTAATTGTACATGCGGAGCACGGGTGCTGCGTTTACGTTGTACGTGCTTTCGCTAGCCGAACGCTGTAAATCATGGTTTTTACCCGCTTCTGCCTCGAAGTCTTGTTTGGTTAACGTTAATCGTTAATGGTGTTGTAAAATAATCCGGTGCATCGATAAGTGATTCGATATCGATTTCGATATTTTGTGTGTTCGTGAAACTTGTGTAATTTATATAGATTAGACGTATATAGGATATTTATGAACTTTGCTAGGGTAACGTTATTTACGTTGAATTATTATACATTATAGATATCATTTGATTAAAATAGAGAAAGACATCTGAGAAAAGGGAGACAATGCTTGGTTGTTCTGGTAAAAATGCAATGCGACAATCCGTTATATTCGCAGAGAGAGAGAGAGAGAGAGAGAAATTAGAGAATTCTCGGGAAGAAAATATTATAAGCGCACCATGTGCACTTTCAAGCGGCCAATTTAGAAGTAACGTGTTAATATCTCGGGCACACCTGAGAAACGGATTCAAAGAGGCATCGAATTCCATCGGAAGCGGCCTCGCTTGTTCACGCGAGCCGTTTAATTATAGAAATGAAGCCGTGTACCTGAGCTGACCATGCTCATGGGAGAACCGTATGGTAATCCTAGTAGAAGTAAGTTTTAGTAAAACTATAAATAATCCGGGCAATAAGAGGAGTCGAACATCGTCGAATACCTGGGTCAGCAGACGTTCTGGTTTAGACGGATTTAAAGGCGCTTGGTGCCACTCTCTCCTCTCCTTACTCCTCGATCTTCCTTCGATTCACGCCACCTACTACGTGGAAAGGGAGAGAGAAGAAAGGAGTTAGCCCACGCTGATTATTCGTATCGACAAAATTCGAGCCGATCCTTACCTAAAATCGTCTCTCTCTCTGAATTCGAATATAGCTTTTCCTGTTATGGTTACGTGGTGGTAAATTAATCACGATCGAATCTCGATTTAAATATATGGGTAAATATATGAACGTATTCTGGAATCATTGTACGAATAGCAGACGGTATTATCGAGCTTGTAAAAGTTGATCGATTTTTTTTTGTTTCGAAACGGTGATGCTTTTTAATGAATGGTAACTGAAGATTGAGAAGGAATCAGAACGGAGAATTATATATATAGGTGATGGAATGATAGTTTGAAAATAGATGCAAGTTTTGTATGCAAGCTAGTTCAATGATCAATTTTTCTTATTATTTAATTTATTTTTACAACCATGACTATTTGGTTCACTTTATCTACCTTACACTTTTTTAATGAGCGTTTTTATAAATTTAAAAAAAAATCTTGTATCTATTTCGACTCGTTTTTAATTAGAAAAAATCTATTCTCGATGGAATAAAAAATCCTCTCTTTTTTATATAGGACTTATTAATTGAAACTATTAGAAAATATATAGATCACTTGAAACTCATTTATCGCTATATTTGGTCGCCAGATCTAGAATAGTTACTTTTCCAATCTTTGAAGATCTTATCTAGATCATTCACAAAAGAGAATGTATCTCAATTTTTTTCCATTCTTCTGAAAAGAACGATCAAAAGAAAAATCCAGAAATCCTCGATTAACAAGCAAGATCTTACGCCCCCAGTTTCGGTCAAAACTTCGCAGAAGAAGATCCATCGTATAACGTTATCCTTCGATCTCGATCTGAGGAGAAGGCACGTTGTTTATACGGCGTCGATCGTCAGGATTCGCTTCTCTCCCTAAACAAGCGATCGAGTTCTAATTCCAGCCGCCGACGGGTTTTCCATCGTTCGAGGAATAATCGAAAACGGACGGCGACGAAGCGGACGACGTGCGTCGAGCTCGTTTCTTAACCATAAAAAGACTGTCCGGATTACGTCATGAGACGTGAGTCACGATAGCTGCTGGCCTAAAAACACTATTGCGACGACAAACGACATCGTGTCGATATAATTTCCTGCGGGGAGCATCGTCAAGGCTCTGGGTGTCGGATTCGAATCTAAACCAATTCCAACCATTTCTTGGAACGAGAGCGGATCACCTTTCGATCGATCAGGTTTTTCTTTCTTTCTTTCTTTCTTTTTTTTTTAGAAACGATGAGAGGAAAGATTCGTCACAGATGACTGAAATATTCCAATTTTATGAGAATCGTGATTGATTACCAAAGGATAATTGTTTCGTGTCTTGAATTACTCTTGCTCAAGAACTCGTGCAATCATAAGAAGGTATGATTTTTTGATTTGAAATTGATTGGTTTGATCGATTAAGTAAGGGAATATTTGTTTTTTCTAATTTAAAGAAAAATTACTTGTTCGAGTAATTATTATATAATTTTTCTAAAACTTTTAAGCAAAGATACTTTAGTCTTTGTTTCACAATTGTTCTAATTATTTTTTAATTGGGAATGGATCAGTGGTTTTAACACTTGAGGTTATTTTCACTATATTATTATGTATATAATAATACAGTTCAATTTTACAAGTTCTGAATTATATATTACTTTAGTGATACATTTTGTGCACGTTCTACCTAGTAAGATTTCAACAAGTTTCTGTCATAAAGTGAATTGAGCTAATATTGTCAGACAAGGATCTTCGTGTAACGAGAATCTTGGAGATGAATTCTATTTCACGAGAGATGGATTTAACGCTTGAAAGCGACACAAAGTATTCGCACGGATATATATTCCATTTGGCCTTGTTTTCACATCATGCGTTAAAAATTACTGTCTTTCCTCTTTCTTGGTGTAAACTCATGGACGTTTGATCATTAACCTGTAACTAATCATGATTGAAGTGTTGCGCATTTTATTAAACATGTAATAAAATTTGATAAAAGTTATGAGAAAAATATAAAAATATAATTCGAATAATGATATAAAATTATAAATTAATATGCATCATTTTTCCATATAATCATCAAAATAGTATCAATAGTAGTAGTAACTTTTATTAAAACTGAATTTACTCTTGATTCAATATTATATAAATAATATATAAAAATTTCTACGATATTCATTTGAATAAATAATACACAATTTTTATCATATCACAAAATAAAGAAATCAAATTCATTCTTGTAATTGAATTAGAATAGAATACAAAACAGTGTTCTATTAGAAATAGATTCTATTTTCTATTATAACGTCCAACTTTCATTCAATCATGATTTCAAAATGTATTATGATATATTTTATAGTCTCAAAACACGCTATACATATTAATAGGAAGAATTACCAGTCACATTACCAGTAATTAATTTATTTCCAATTATTATTTATCTAAACTAATTCGTTCCCAATGATTGTCGATCAATTTTATTACGTTGACTCCAAAGAAATACAATAAGAAGCATGATCGAGGAATAATAAGCAAAGAGCGAGCTATTGCTATAATTTCTAATAATATTCTAAAATTGTGAAATAGAAAGATCCTTCAAGATTTTTCCAATTAATACTGTGAAAGTCGTCGAGTACAATCAACAGAAGGATATTAATTAATAAAACGGGGATTTACATTGAAGTTCCTCGAACTTCACATATTCTTTCTTTTTACTTTCTTCTCAACGAATCGCACATTTTATAGTCTCAACAATAATTTTCCAACAAAATGTAGATTTTAAAAAGGACACAAGTTAATCTATATTTCTACACATTCCATATACGAATGTGATTTCTCAAAGTTTACAAAGTTTAAACAATTGTACCGAATCTCCATGGAAAAAGATCTCTTTTTCTCTTTCTCTCTCTGTCTCTCCCTCTTTCTCTCTCTCTCCGCCACGTTTACTTCTATATAAAGATCGAAAGGTTTTGAAGCGTGGGTGGATCCGCGGAACGAGTGGGCGCATTCAGCCCAGCCGCAATTACGTTTCCTCGCGCGATCGTTTTCGTGCTTCCTTCGTCCACGGTCGTTCGAGTACTTGACCCCCTCTGGAGCCGCCTCTGGGTTGTCTGTGTTGTCGATGGCGCGGCCAGAGGTGGTCAGGATCGATATACTCGAAGAGTTCGATCAAGGGATAGGCGTAGGTGTTATTATCGTTTCTTTTTTTTTCTTTTTTTCGAACGTCCACGGTTTTATACGATTTTCCACGCTCGATTCGATGTGGACAGGTGCGTGTTTTCGTTTCAGTATTCGAGCATTCTTGTCACGTGATGGTCGTTGAACGCGGTAGAATCCCTGTTGTCGGGACACTTGTCATCCGATATCCTGCTCTCCTACTCGAGCATTTTATTAATCCAAAAATCTATTATCTCTGCTCGAAAAATACTATATGCGAACAAGTGGGTATTATTATTGGGAATGTAATTTAATTAGAAATCGACGGGATTCTCAATTACATGTTATGATTGTTTATTTTAAAATTTATTTATTTATTTTTCTTTCCCCTCTCTGAATTAAGTAATTTTCTCAATTGGGCTCAATTTATCCCATTCAACCATTTTTTTTTTTTTTTTTTTTTAATAAAGGATTCGAGTTATCCGTTGTTCCATTGATATTCGTTTCCACTCTGCTTCGTAACAACCATTCGCCGTGTAATTTTTATTTATGCTGGCTTTGAGTTAGGGCATTGTTGCTCGCGATGGGAAACCGTACCACCTCGTACAATATGGCCAAGGATAAATCATTTAGATTGCGGGATATAACTGCGTAAGTTAAACGATTCTCAAATTTATATAAATGTATCTGTAAATTTTACACGGTGGGGAAAGATTAGAAGAGTGTTATAAAATACAAAGTTTCTTCCTTCGTTTCTTCCTTGTACCGAAATGGAAAAATTTACGTGAAAAGCGATCCTTAAAAAAAAAAAGAAATCCACTTGCTTTAGGACTCGCTTCTTCTACGATTTTATTTTTTTCTTCTTTTTTTTTTTTTTTTTTTCAATGCATTTCATCGTGAAATTTGCGCTCGAGAGAGAAAGAGAGAGAGAGAAAACACGAGGGCAAATTTAAACAAAAGAGCCGTCCGATCGCGTGAGTCTCCTGCGTCCGGATTTGCGTGCAACCGGATGCATCAGACTGCGTCCAAGCTAATAATCAACGTTCAGATATACGTATAATATCAGAAACTTTACTCAGAGTCTGTTGAAAAAGGCTCCAAGGTTGGAATCGTTCTTTCTTCCTCGAAACGTGCATAGGTTTTTATCAGAAAGTTTAAAAATCCTGAAGCGAATGATATTATTTCGTTCATTTTCATGGGATCGTTACGTATGTTATAGGGTGTTTTATTGTCGGTAATTTTTTAAAAAAAGGAAATAAGCTGAAAATTCTTTGGTCTAATATACGAGTCTAATGTATGAGCTTGAAATATCGGTTTTGAATTTAGATTCGATTACTGGAAGCGTCCACGTGTGAAATTTAGTTTTCTAAGTTATCTTTGGTTTTAACATACGATTGAGAGGATTCGTATTTATTGAAGCGAGAGCATTGATTGTTCAAAAGATCTTTGGTTGAAACATTTTCGTGAAATTTTTGTAATCAAGCTCGACTAAATTTATCCTTTTATTTTTCTCCATTGACGAATATATAAATATTCGTTTATCGTGAATTTTAACTTTCTTATAATTATAAGCCTGAAAAATTAAAAAATTCACGATATCTGATCAATCAATTGCGAAATCGAAAGTAATACGATTTTTCTTTTCTTATCTTACTTCCTGTTAACGCAAAATTGAACAAATATTTTGTAATACTTTTTGCTGTTATGATAAAAAATATATTTTTTATTATCATTGTTTTCTTTAATTTACATATAAAAGTGTTGAACACTTTGTGTGTGATCAGTTTGCAACACGGCCATTTAATTTTCGTCATGAATAAAGATCTTTCGATTCTGATCTTTTTTTTTTGGATTAATTTCTGTACTAATATATCTCTTGATCTGTTTCAGAAAAAACGGATCACCCGTCGAGTGGTCGCAGAACGATCGTCGCTTAAACTATCATGGCTGCACCACAGGCCTCATCGCGATTAGAATTGTTGCAGGTACGAATGTTTATTCTTTTTTTGAAAAATATTCACATAAAAACACTACTCGTTTCTGTGCTTCCACGAAGATTTCGATTTTGTGGTATAAATTTTAATTATTTTCTTTCTGTTCCATTTTTTTTTTTTTAAACAAACTCTCTGAATTAACGCGAAAATAATTAATATAATATTAATATAAAAGCAGATTTTTTAATCGTTCATAAATTGAAAAATTGCAAATGTTTATAGGAAATTTAAATTTAAATATACGAGAAGTATGCAGAGAAAATACAGTGACGTGAGAAAATAAAAAAAAAAAAAAAATATCCAAAGTAAAATAATGATTAAAATATTTAAAAGATAAAATAAATCGTTATTTATATTTTTCGTTATATATTTCACGAAATATAAATTTACATATAAATCCATAATTTATTCATAAAATTAATTAACGTGTATAAACATATCATGCATAAAATGCGAAGTAATATTTTAGCGTTCGATTCGCATCAAAGATTACAACATTAATCATTAAATATTAACGAAAGTATGAATATAATGCCTTGACATAAACGATATATAATGTATCATGTATAACGTAATTCATTTTATGAAAAAAAAAAAAAAAAAAAGAAAAAAAAAGAATTCATGCATACTTAATACGAAACGAAATCACAATGCATTCCTCACGATTTATTCAAAATTGCATGAACTTACAATTAGCCTCTAATTATGTGGGAACAAAATTTTTCCCAAACATCTGTTTTATCTGCTGTTGTATAAAACATGAAATTAAAGGGGCAAACATCCTTCTGACAACTTTTTTTTAATCGATGCAATTTGCAAAGTAATTTAATTATAAACTTAAATCAAATATAAATACAAATCTTCAAGTTTTATACTAATAAACTATTATTATTTAACTCAAAAATTGCAAATTTTTCAATCGTCAATATAAAAATAACCTAAAAACTTTTTTTACCAATGAAATTTTACAAGTATAACTTTCAATGTAAAATTTCCTCAAATATCCTCATAAGGATTGGAAAAACATTCGTTCCCCTAAAAATCATAATTTTTACATTATCATGTTACAGCGATGAATATCTATCGCGAATGATTTGCAACGACTCTTTCATCCCAAAATTAGAAATCTCGTCGAAAACGGCATCGTTCCATCATTTCTGAAACTCTTGTGCTGTGTATCCAGGCGGGAGCGTTTCGTTTCGATTACCTAACCGTGTCCACGATCGTAAGAGTCCTTGCCAATCCCGTAATCTTGAAATACCCGCGAGCTGGTTAAGGCGGGCACGCGTTCTCCTTTGGCCCACGTAGAGCGCACCGTGGCCGGACGCATATATGGCATCTTGTTCTTGGCTCGTATACACGTAGCTAACGACCCACGTACAGATGTAGCCGAAATCGACGAGCCTCGATGCCATGTGCTCGCAAGTGGGCACGCTTGTCTAATGCTGCCCTCTTGCGACCTGGTCATTTGTCACCAAGTACGTGGTTTCGAGCATTCGAATTGGAATGAAAGATGGAGAAAAATTCTTGAAATTCTGAATTGGTGTGTGGTGGAAAGAGAATAGACTTAACAATTGATCTAACATAAATAAATGGATATATTTTCTCAATCTAGGACTAAGAATAATTATAGATAAAAAAAGGATCGATGGAATAATTTTAGGAAAGGTTTTGTAACTGTGCGTGTAATTGATCTTCGTGTGTCGAAAAGTGACCGCAAGGCCAAGGATCGATGATCGGCCGCGTTTGACCGGAATCGCAGTCTCGAGTTCCGATCTCTCGGGTAACAGGAGTCGAGGGACGAAAGGGCGGGCCCTTCTCGAGGGAAAGAAAGGAGCGGGTTTCGCGGTGAGGCGGGCAAAGAGTATGAAAGGGATCGAAAAGAAACACTGTGGACGCTTGGCTTGTCAACCGCGACCAGTGGCAAGAGCCGTAACTATATTAATGTGACGTCACTTCCTTCGTCTTTCGAGCCATCATTCGACACACAGGGCCGTCCTAGCTAAGATAGCCATCGTGCCTGACTCGTTCTTGACCTCTTCGTCTTCTTCCTCCAAAGGAACGTATCTTTGTTTCAACGTTTCGCGTAGAATACGTTTCGAGGAAGTTCAATTTATCCCTTTGTTTAATATTCAAGGATGATTATTGATAGACACGTCGATTAAAAATAATTCATTATTTTCATAGAGATTTAAAAATGTACGCGTAGATTTGTCTTCGATGATATTTAATTTGATAAGTTAGATTTCTTTGTAGACAGGAAATTGAATGATTTACTGGTAAATCATATAAATATATCTTCTCAAACCATTTCAAGAAACGAAGGCTCATTTGCTAACTTTCATCGTATCTTTTCTTCTTTTCGTTCTTTTTCTGAAAATTTAAATCGATACTGCGACAAAATAATTGTAAAATATAATCAGAAATTCTAGTATTTCATTTTATATTTGAATAAAATTTAGGAAAAAAAACAATAAAATTCTAATAATTCTCTCGAAAGACATCGACAGAAGGATTTCGCACGGATTCTCAAGGTGGGGTGAAAGGATTTTCACCGTTGCTTTCGATACATAAATAATGCACAAAACGTGTGCATATCGCGCAGAGGCTGGCGTAGGTCGATTCTTGGCTACCCACGTTGGCCTAAATCCCGTGACACGTTCTTTTTATCCTTTAATCCTTGTCGTCGACCTCTTCTCAGATTTTCCGACACGAAATCAACCCGGTTTACGTCACTCTGTGAGAAAAGAAAAAAAAAAAATAACGTCTCTCCAAGCCTGCGCACGCACGCACACACAAAATAGTTATCAATGCTTTGCATAATTGCACGCTTCGGCGAGAATATAATGTTCTTTTTTCACGAGATACTATAACTAAACCAACCCCCGTTGATATTACCCCGTATACATATTATTCATTAAGTTGTCATCGTGTAAACGAATCTGTTATGAAGCGGCAAGTTAATTATAGTGAAATTGCAATTGCCTCTGAATGAATATTTTGAACGTGAGTTTAAATTAATGTTGCTACGTTAAACGAGTAATGCTTGTTTTAAAAAAAAAAAAAAAAGAAGAAGAAGAAGAAGAAGAAGAAAGAAAAAGAAGAAAAAGGCTTTTATGCGCGTGATAAAATCAGGATTAAATCTCCCTCAGAGAGATTAGATACGAGAGAAATTTGATACAGATATAGCAATAATTTAATAATTGTTTTAAGAACGTGTGATAGATCGGTGTATACATCTGCGTGATATGTATCGTTTAACTTGGACGTTAATGCTGGACGTAATTAATGACGTTGATGTTATAAGTCCACGTTAATGTCTGATAACGTAATAACAACTTATCGTTGAACTCCGACTGTTTACCTGATTGTAAAATACTTATACAACGGTAAAAACTCGAGATAACCTATATAGAAGGGAATTAAATTATCACAAAGATCGTATTGCGTAGGAATAAAGGTACTTTTATCGAAGAGTATTGCACAACGGGGAAGTTATTCGAATAACACGAATAAACTTTTCGACCAGGGGACTAAAGAATATCCGTTTCTTTTTATTAAAAAAAAAAATAGCCATGCATCTAACAAATAAATTTGATCAAGCCATTATCCAGATTAGATTTTATTTTCAATGTATGGGTAATAATTAAAAAATTTATAATACATGAAAAATATGAAAAAGTGATAAAAAAAAAGGTAATTAAAATAGTAACAAAAATTTCGAGATTTTTAATTCAATTTCGAAACAGGGAATTTCTATCGATCTATCGATACCTGAAACAAAAACATTCCACGATCATAAATACTTCAAGAATATCGCGAGCCGTGAACAGAAAAAAAAAAAAAAAGGCAAAAATGATTCATTCCAATAAAACATCGTGTCGTTGTTGTCAAAGCGGAAAATGTAATTTTCTGGCTGGTGGACAGGTGCGATGAATCGTTACGTCACGTGTCTCCGATTCGACGTGCCCCCATCCTTAAAAAGAGAATTCCATCCGGGGGATAGACAGCGGCTAAGTCGGCTGAAGCAACGAGCTGCCAACGATAACGAGTCCGCTTGGTAATTACGTTGCTTAACTGGCCAAGTATCCCGCGAAATTACAATTACAAATCGGCTCGAGTCCCCTCATCAATTATTTATACAGCAGGATCACCGTTACCAACACAGCTCGAAAACCCAGATTTTCAGATTCATCCGCGTCTCTCATCGCGGGTAACACACTTCGCGCCGTGTTAACACGTTCGCCCTGTTTATTTTATTTTTCTTCTTCTTTTTTCTTTCCCTCCCCTTCCTCGCGGAGGCGTCGAGAGATCGTCACGCATCGAGAGAATTGTGAAATTTGTTGCACAGATAGAGCATGGAAAATATTGTGATGGATCGATGCGACCATCGTTGAGAAATTTCTTTCTTTTTAATTGAAGATTATGTATGTCTGAATGTACGTCTCGAGATTGGAATGGTGAATGATTGGCGGGCAGGGATGAATTTATAAATTTAAAGTTCTGTGTTATTCTTCGCGTATAATTAATTTGAAAGGAGAAGAACAATAGTTTTAAATGATAGACTTCGAATAAGTAGAGTGTAAGAAGAAGATGGTTCGGATCGGTTTGGAAATGTTTGTTTTATTTCGAAACATCTGAAGAAATCTCAAGTTTTATTACATTTTCTTTGCGCCTTACTAGGACGAATAAAGTAGACTGTTTCTAGATCTCTATTGCACATGTTGACTTTCTAACTTTTTTTTTTTTTTAAAGATCATTGAATTTGTTATTTTTACGATGCTATAAAAGAAAATATAGATTTCCATTTATTTAATTACGTGTTCGCATTAAATTTCTACTTGGATTTGAATTTCACTTGAAAGATTGGGATGAATAGTGAAAGATATACGAAAAATGGCGCATAATTATTTATTTTGAAGTTGAATCAAGTTATACAATCCGATTACTTTTGAATATTGAATTTTTCAATCAAAAATATAAAATTCAGA